GTTAGAATAAGTGGGCACCTTTTTCGGTTTTGGGGGACCTAGGCTTTCAACTTGCACACAGCGTTGTGGCTATGGTTCTGGTGGATTTCAACCAGTGCATAGAACTACACGTGGTTGCGCAGAGTCGATCATGTGAGCTTGGAATAATCACTCTGAGTTCCCTTGGCGCAGTTGTTGGCCACTTCACTTCCGCAAACATTTCTCCAACCCAACCGCCAGGCGGCACATCTTGCGAGGCTTCGGGTCGCAGCTCCGAGTCGCTCTTCCCAGCCCGCCTCCTGCCCTCCTCGCTGTCACGCGCTTCGTGCGGAAACAAGGGGCCAGGGACGTCAGAGGGACATCCTAAAAATGACTCTTGGCTTCGGCCCTTCACGGTGAAGCAAAGAGAAACTACTTGGAAAAGTACTTTGGCGAACCCTGCAAAAATGCTCACTTGTAAGGGACCGGGCAGAAAGGCCTCGCTTCCAGTGAAGAATAGAGTGATCATTTGGCAATAAGCTTGAATCCGGGATTTCCGAATGGCCGGACATGAATCCCCATGCCCACCAAAGGGACTCCAGTTCCATTCATACCCATTTAGCAGTGCAATTTCGAATCCCCTAACACTTTGCCCACATCATCACATCTGGGGATAAACCGAAAGTCATATGTCCATATTATGTTTCAATTTTAAGCTATCCTAAAAACGTACCATAGTTTTCGAGGAGAGCCTGCAGCTAACATCCAAATGCCGCGAGACTGGAACCCACCAAAAGCTGGCCTCCAGGTAGCCCTCCATGATGTACGCGAGCACCTCCTCATCATCCTCGTCCAGTTCATCAAGTGAATCCTCCGGGTCCTGCAGTTCAGCTCGGGTCTAAAAAGCCCCCCCCCCATCAAATAAGAAAAACCGTGTCTCACTTCCTGAGTGGCCAAGAAAACTCCAAACTGGTTGTTTGCCTCTAAAATGGGGAAGTGAGAATTTGTGAGCCCTTGGCTTGTTTTTGCTTCCAATGGGCCTTCCTGACAGCTTTCTACCATCCACGAGGCTGCCCAAGACCAAAGTTGCAACCTGGGTTGTATTCGGCATATGGCGAGACAGCCACTGAGCATGCGCCCCCGCAAGTTGTGGATCACGACGTTGGATAACTCGTTGCTAAAGCTGCAAGCCGGGAACATGTAAGTCCACCATGTGTTCGCTACAAGAAGCAATCGCGGAACAGCTGCCAAGAGCAGCCTGCAAAGACTTTGGCAGCTATCCCAGGAATTAAGCACCCCCGATCGCCACGGCAACGCTTCGACATTTCATCTGCGATGGGCATACTTCCCATACTGCCCCTGAAAAGCTGTTGCATCTTCCATTGGAAGAAGGGTAGCCCCCCCGCAGTTGGCCCCTGAGTCTTGCAAGCAAGCCAACCACATATGCGTCGCAGACTTTCAGGGAATGCTCGGATTCCTACGTAGTAGCCTTCTTGAAGAAGGGTACCCCAAACACGCGTGGCTGGACTCGTAATAGTAACAGCAGGAGTCATACAGCACAAGCACGAAAGCAGCAACAGCAAGAGTAGAAGCTGTGGTGGTAGGTGTAGTGGTCATGGTAGCGGTGGCATCTGCACTAAACGCAAGAAGGGGGTCCCCCAACAGGAGATTCCTCTACCGATGGGCGTGCTTAAATCCGCCGACATTGCTCGGCGTGTCGGGTACTTACTAGAGGATAGAGGATAACCCCCCCCCTAACCCCCCCCCCCGCCCGACGTCTATTACGTAGGTTTTTTTTGGGGGGGGGGGGGGTCCCCCACGTACCGCGCGGCAATTTGATGACGTTCCACTAAACGTAGTCTTCGGGGAGCCGGTGTCGCAAAACAGGGGTCCCAGGCTCGATTCCCCCTGCCGGCTTTTTTGCTGGCTTGGGCTTCCTGCATCCTTTTGCCGAAAATCTGGAAAAACTCAATGTTTTTGGACGTCCTCTTTGCGAAAACGCTGGAAAAACCGTGTTTTTTTTTGCGGGAAATACATACATACATGCATGAATGCATGCATGCATACATACATACATACATGTCATACATACATTACACACAAACATACATACATACATACATGCATGCATACATACATACATACATACATGCATACATGCATTACATACATACCTACCTACCTACCGCATACATACATACATACATACATACATACATACATACATACATACATACATACATACATACATACATACATACATACATACATACATACATACATACATACATACATACATACATACATTACATACATTACATACATACATTACATTACATTACATTACATTACATTACATTACATTACATTACATTACATTACATTACATTACATACATTACATTACATTACATACATACATACATTACATACATACATACATACATACATACATACATACATTACATTACATTACATTACATTACATTACATTACATTACATTACATTACATTACATACATTACATACATACATACATACATACATACATACATACATACATACATACATACATACATACATACATACATACATACATACATACATACATACATACATACATACATACATACATACATACATACATACATACATACATACATACATACATACATACATACATACATACATACATACATACATACATACATACATACATACATACATACATACATACATACATACATACATACATACATACATACATACATACATACATACATACATACATACATACATACATACATACATACATACATACATACATACATACATACATACATACATACATACATACATACATTACATACATACATACATACATACATACATACATACATACATACATACATTACATACATTACATACATTACATTACATACATTACATTACATTACATTACATTACATTACATTACATTACATTACATTACATTACATTACATACATACATACATACATACATTACATACATACATACATACATACATACACATTACATACATACATACATACATACATACATACATACATACATACATACATACATACATACATACATACATATACATACATACATACATACATACATACATACATACATACATACATACATACATACATACATACATACATACATACATACATACATACATACATACATACATACATACATTACATACATACATACATACATACATACATTACATACATACATACATTACATTACACATTACATTACATTACATTACATTACATTACATTACATACATACATTACATTACATTACATTACATTACATTACATTACATTACATACATACATACATACGTACATCCATCATACATACATACATACATTACATACATACATACATTACATACATACATACATTACATTACACATACATACATACATACATAAATACATTACGTACATACATACTTACTTAGGTACTTACTTACTTACTTACTTACATACATACATACATACATACATACATACATACATACATACATACATACATACATACATACATACATGCATACATACATACTTATGTACATGCATGCATACATACGAGAGAGGGAGATTGGGAAGAGAGAGGCTTGGGGGGATGGGGAGGATGGGAGCAGAGGGAGGGAGAGCACACAAGGGAGACAAGGAAGAGAGGAAGAAGGAGAAAAGGGAGAGGACAATGTCGGCGGACTGAGCCGGAGGCTCTAAAGTAGGGGGACCCGGGACGGCAAATGGCGGTTCTCCGTTTGCTTTCCCTTTTAAGCGACACCAAGAAGGGTACATGCACAGGTTCCAGGTTAATCTGCCCTTGGGGCATCAAGCCGAATCAGCCCCTGTCCTCCCCGCGCGGCACAACCGCCGGCCGGCTTGGGCTGCCCAGATCTCCCCAGAAGCGGCCAGCTCCGAAGCTAGGCTCACCTCAGTTGGACGGTTGATCTTTCAAACACGACGACTTCCAGGCCAGTCCTGGACAGCCAAGGAAAGCCGTGTTGCTCATGATCTCTATGGGAATGCTGTGGAAAGTCGTGTTCGACCAAAGTCCATGAGAATTCATATGACCTGCGGGCCTCACTAGCATCAAACCGCACAGGCCGCCTCTCTGAGCGCCCAACGAGGGGCTTCTTGCCCCATGCAGACGTCATGCTGTAAGGCCCTCCCTCGCAATAGCGAGGGGCACTCCAGCAGAACTTAGACAACCAGGGAAGAATGCGAGCGAGATCAAGCATGTGGATCCGCATTATCAAATAGCTGTCGCGGCAAGAAACACCACTGCTCATCCGATTGTTAGGATAACTTTGTTGCGGCCGGTGTTTTTTGGTTTGGCTTTCCGTGTTCCTTTCGCCTATGCATGATGCAGTAGATCAGTATCCGCTGCCTCACGGATACATGCCGCAACAAATCCATCCAGCTTCAAAAACAATTAGGCTGTTTCGCAAATAGCCATCAAGACATAACCCGCTACAGCCGTAGGCCTGGGCGGCACCGCATGCGCTGCGAGCCGAAACAGCTCCCAGCGGATGCGCGGAATTCCAGGGAGGTCCGAGCCAAGGCAAAGCTCGCTGTCAAGTTCTTTGGCGACCAGCTCATTGCGCGGCATAACTTGGTGTGCCCAGCAGGGCTCTGATAATCCTGATACGACTTGATTTGCATCCTTCCCCTGATAAAAAAAAAAAAAAACAAAAAAAAAAAAAAAAAAAAAAAAAAAAACAGCCATCATCAGCCATCCATCCTCTCGTGCATGGCGCACGCAGCGGCTTCCCTTGCGCAAGCCAACCATCCCGAGCCATCTCGTGCCATTTTTGAGTGTGTCTTAAATGGGAGACACTTTCCCTTTGGAGTCCCCTTGAAACCAACCAGAAACGCTAAGAAGAAGACAAACATACTAAAAATAATTTCCCCTTCACACCTTCACACCAACCACGCTGCACCCTCAACACAAAGACGCACCCATCTGGCGCCATCGCGCCTCCTTGTCATTGGCCGCGCAAGCGGCCACCAGAGTGAACATCCGCAGCACCGCCTCCCCCACGGACGCCTGGAGGCGGCGGCATGTCTGGGACCCATTCGACGGGAAAGATCTGGGCAGCACCTGGCAACCCTGCTTCCCGTTCATGAAACATCCCACCAAAAGTTGGATTGGCCGATAGTTCTTTTTGACTTGCCTTGTTCACTGGATCGCTAAATAACATTGCTTTTTCTATTGTGTTGGCCTGCCCGCTCTGCGCGTCCTTCTCCATCTGTTTTCTGACCAATGCAACAATGCAACCCCGCGCATCAATCACGCCCCACTGACATCTCAGCAAAACTGCTGATGACAAAACCTTTTTGCCAAATCACCTCAGCTGGAACCCGGACAGAAAGCCGCCAAAACAACAATCTGGGTGAATTGTAATATTTCACCAGCCTGAAATAACGTTCTTGGGGGGCTATTCCCCACATAAACCACTTCACCCAGAACAACCACTGCCCCCTGGCCTCCCGCTTTTCCAGCCACTGGTACAGCGAGAAGTCCCAGTAAAGGATCCCACTGGCGCCCGCGATGAAGTCCACCTCGGACGAAGCAGGTCACGGACCCAGGGCGGCTATGGGGGTGTGGGGCTGTCCCTGGGCATATTGCGGGGGGGAGTGGGGGGGTGGCGGGGGTGTGGGGGGGTTTGGGGAGGTTTGGGGGGGGGGGGGCGGTGTTGTGTGTGTGGATAAGTTCCGGATAAGCCCTTGATAAGGCTTTACTAAGGGGTTAATAAGGGATAGCCCCCTCCCCCAACCCCCTTCAAGGTTCATAGCAAAGTGATGTTCAGCGATTCGCATCCCCCTTTCCTTAACCAAAGACATTGGCCCAAGTCAAGAAAATATCTTATTTTGTACGTGCAGTATGGTGCGCAAAAAGGCAATTACTCACCATAGAAAGCTGGCCATGGAGCAATGGAGCAGTGGGACTGCCCAAGCCGGTGAGCCCCTACGATAGCCGTAGCCCTTGAAAAAACACGTGTGTGGGTCATTGCCATAGGTGTCCAATTGGAGAGAGGACTAGCTGAGGTCCAGTGGCCCAAGCTAGTAGAGTGTCAAATTCAAGGACTTGTGTCTTCCATCTGACCCCCTCCAAAGCGGCCCTCCCCACCACGACTCCAAAATTTTGACCGTCTTGCGAGCCCTATGCATGAGCGACTGCCCCTGGCAGCTGCCAGCGTGAACTGCCAGTTTCTAGAGGAGCGAGGGGCCCCCTGGACAGGCATCGGTCGTGCTCACATGATTTCAGAGCCCCTTTTGGTTGGGTCGTGCCGAGGGGACCGATTCGGACAACCACGGAATAAGAGCAATCACAATTACGGAATCACAACTCCACAAGGCAAAGGGGCTAGTTTAGCCTGACCTGTGGTGGAAGCTCAAGATTGCGCCGGAAAAAAGAAACCATGCCCCCCAACAGCACACAAATCTGAAGGCCGTAGCAAGCTGGGAGTACAGCTGATTGAGATTGATCTGGTTGAGCCGCGCTGCCCAATAAGTAATTCGTCAAACTTGTGGATGGAATGGGTCATTCTTGGATGCGGGCCGGGAAAACAAACAAACAACAAAAACAAACACCAAACATAGAGTACTTGTTGCGAAGCACTGGTTTCTTTTTGAGCCAGCGGAACAAGCCTGCAACCCGTTCAAGGCACCACATTCTTGAGCGCTTGCTTGGCCTCGGCCTTCCACACTGCGGTATCCTGCGAGGGCCGAACAAGGATAGACAATGGACAAGGTTTGCCTGGAACACCTTCAAACGGAAAGAAAGGCTGGGCCTGGGCAATTGCTGCATGTGAGCAACAAAGAAGTTTCAGGCTATGCAAACAGGGCATGCGCTGTTTGCACATAATTGGCCAAGAACTTTGAAAATTCACCGCGTGTCCAAGCTTTACAAAGAAACAAGCCCGAAACCAAACTTTAACCGACACACACACACACAAACACACACACACAGTTCCTGACCGAGCTGGACAATCTGCCCGCTCCATCTGCAAGGGCGCAACTACAAAAGCGTGTCCCCCTGCCGGAGCTCAGGTTCCTCGCTTGTGCGACTGATACTTGATGAAATAGAGTTTTCGACCGAAGGCTTTGCCACCCATCCCTAAGCTGAGGTGTGTCGCTCATTCCCCACTCTGAAAGCATGCCGTGGCAGAATGGCCTCTTGGGGGGGGGGGGGCTCCAAGTAGAGGCCCGCGCTAGCCTAGCATTTCGCATCTCACTCAGCAAAACAAAGCCGCTTAAGCGGGTCTGAAAAAAGAGGGAACCCCAAAATGGGAGACTTCCTCTCGGTTTCGCTTTGCAACGAAACAACCTCGCTATCCTGAAAAAGCCATATCCCGGCTGAACAAAACGAACACCCCGCCGTTTTTGTTTTTCTCTTTCACACGGCGCCTCCCAGGGGAACTCCGCGGCTTCGCGGGCCAGGCTCTGGGCGCCGCTGAGGTGAGCCTTGGACGATGGCCCCAAAGAAGTTGACCCAACCGAAAGGAGGGAATTGAGGCCCGGGGGGCGGCCCCTGAACTCGGGTGCCCTCCCAAAGGCAACTTAACAACAAACAACGTCCTACTGGGCTGCTGTGGCTTTTCCCTTAAGGTGAAATCTGTTGTAGGTTCGCGCAAAAGCCATGTGTTTCCCACATCTAAGTGGCGAAAACGTCACACCAAAGGCCAGCCAAAGGGCCTCATATGGCCTCATTGGTCCACGCAAAACACAAGGCCGCTAGATCAAGCCCTCCTTTACGTCTCAGAAGGTGACTTCTAAAACCGCATGTCGCAACTAAGGAGACCAGAACCACCAAGGAGTCCTGGTGGGCCTTAAGGGGTTGGCCCCCAACAGCAAGGTGCCAACTTGGAAACTGAACTGCATCACAGTGGAAAGAACACCAAAGAAAACAAACAGCCAGGAAACGGTACCAGTGAAAGGAATCCCTGTATAAGCCTCCTGACTGGAGTGCATAACCCCGTTAAGGGGGGTGAATGGATCCCAGTTCCATTACCAAATCAAAAATGTAGCTGACGGTAGAATTCCAGCGTTCGAATTCCCCCTCCCAGGGGTCCCAGCGTTAACGGAATGCCAGAAGTGCAAACACAACAGCTGAACCAGAAAATAGTCGTACATATAGGCGTCTTCATTGACTCATTTGTTGCAGTAGGTGGACAGAACAGCCATGCTGCCTAAGTTGCAAAAACAGGCCGGTGAATCTCGTCAGAGCTGCGGTGTCCCTGCTGCAAACGCCCGATCAAGCCTTATTTCCAGTTGAGTGGACATCCTTTACATGAAGGTTTATATCCTCGAACCATGTTTTGAGGGCAGGCTGGCATCCCCCTCCAGCAGCTGTAAGCCCAGCTGCAAAACCCTAAGCCGAATAGCTCTACTCCTGAAAGAGCTATGGGTTTGCAGGTGCCAGTCATGCTCCAAAACTGGGAGATGTCAACTTCAAGCCGGAGGACATTGCTCAAGAGTTCCCCTTTTCGTGGGAGCGATTCTGTTCGGGCGAAGTTGGCAGTGCTGAACGGGGTTCGCAACATGGAGCACGCGTCATTGCCCTCCCCGGAGTTTGGATCTGGGGCTCCGCACTTGCACAAAGCTCTGCGGCCTAACCGGCCCCCCATCCCAAAAGGGTGGGGCCATTGCCTTCGTGTGCTGAAAAGGGCATTCTCTCCTAGGCCATTTTAAGGACTGGAAACTAAGCCCCATTTTGGGCAAGGGAACACGGCACAGAGAAAAACACACGCCAGGCAGGGAACATGAGCCACCGCATACATCCAATCGCCATGAGGCCAAGCCCTCAGCTCCCGGCAGCATGAGATGGTCGAACTGCGTCAGCAGCACGGAGGCCCAAACCACAACCTGGCGGTTGTGGTGAGTGATGTGATTGGTTGATGTCGCTTGACAAGTATGGGTGTGTCTGTTTTTGATGGTGCTTGATGAGTTGGTTGTCAAGGGAAACCACTGGAAAACCACAATTGTGGGGGTGCCCTCAAAAAGACACACCCATATGTTGCAATAAGGCAGCTGGCTGTGTTGGAAGAAGTGGGTCCTGGTTGCTTGTGAACAATGTGAAAGCTTTGATGTTTAGCGGCGCTGTCGTTGAAGCCCACGCAAGTGGAAGGCACCTGACTTGTACTTGAGGAGGTTTCCAACACGATGCGTAGCAAATGCTTTCTGGCCGGGAATGTGCTAAATTTGCGGACTCTGCCAATCGCCTGGTGCTTGTTCAGGATGGGAACTACATGGATGCCATATGCCAGGCATGAAGAAACACAATCTGATTCTGACCTTGATCCCAGACTCCCGGCCAGTCGGAAGCTAAAATGCCAGAGCGGGATGCCTCGATAGGGTTTTGGGCCGCTTGGAAGTTGGCCGGTCATGGCCCAGGAGACTTAGGGCCCAGCACGCTCAAGCACGTAGAAGACAGAGCTCGGCTTCAAGGGGAAGAACCGCTCTTTCCGGTCCTTCTCCTTCCCCCAGTAGTTCCTCGATGCGAGCACATGCCAAGTCTTGCCACGTTGAATTGCTTTGAATTGTCCAGCTAGTTCAAAGGCTGCCGCGACTGCTCGTGGCCCTTTGCGCAGTCTGCCTGTGCCAACGGCTGATTTTGCTGCCCAGTGTCCACAACTTGGCCATGATGGACCAGTTCGCGGTGAAGAACTGGTGGACTCGGCCCTGCCCACACACTCCGATGGGCCGAAATCGGGCAGTTTCATAAAGATGCTGATGGGCCAATTTGCGAGTGGCTTGCAACATCCATTTAGGCAGCTGGAGTAGGCAGGTCTGTATTTTTCCTCAGCATAATCACCGGTCGACAGAAGAGACAACCAAAGCCAAAAAGCATGAAGCAATGAAGCAAACCACTTCCATCGTTCCTCGGATCCGGAACGCGTTACGCTATGAAAGACTCTGGTCAGGCGAAAATACCTTGAAAGTGGGGTTCACACATTTATCAAGGGTCAAGGCATGGCATATCATGGCAGGGACACATTCACACCCTCGCCTCCTTCTGTTGGCTTGCCGAGTGCGTGCTCTGGACGAGCATTGTCACAGGATTCATATCTTTGGAGTCCTGCCAGCGACGCAATGCGACGCACCTCAGCCTCAGGAACCTTTGGCCAGGATTTGGGTCTTGAACGTGTGGTGCAGGAGTGAAACAGATAAAAACAAGGCCATCTTTCCCAAATGCGGAAACTCGAGGGAGTGATAGAGGCTCTGAATTGGGTTGCAAATAGCAGGTCCAGAAGAGTCAAACATCGCCAGCCTATGCTCTGGTTGGGGGTGCCTTCAGGGAAACGCAAGCAAACAATCCATCATTTTGCACCCAGTGAGAACTCAAGACTTGCCAAGCCCGCCTCGCGGGCTTTGTTGAGAAAGGCATACTCCAGGAGATCCATTCGCCGGCGCTCCCTGGGCGGATGGGCAAGCTGTTGCCGAGGAACTCTTTTCGACAGATTGTTCCCTTTGTGGACATCGCTGGTAAAGGTTCCAACCCAAACTGAAAGTGCCATCAGACATGGTTTCAATGCGGATTTTCCACTCCACCGCCTCTGGTAAGGCCGCATGAAGGGAAGCAACGCCAGCACGGACAAAGCCTGCGAGCGTCCGGGCTTTGCTACGCTCATGCCTTGCCGTCGAGTCTGGAACCCTTCTTCATGCTGTAAGTGAACCACTTGGAAAGGGCAGCACCGGATCAACGAGCGCATGCACAAAACTCTAGCGGCTATTGCGCAAAAGACGGGCCCCTTTGCTGAGCTCGGAAGATCCACATGTGGAGCCAAAAGGAGCACAAAGGGGGACAAAAAGAGGCACTGGACACCGACAAAGCGGTTGAAAAACAGATTGTCAATTTCCACTTACCACGGGGCTCAACCCACAGGCAGCCAACAGTTGATTCCCTCAACCGAAAATGAGTGAGGCAAACACATGTTCACAGCTGGCCGAAACTGCACCCACAAATTCATTCCCCCCACTTACCCAGTGATCCTTGCAGAAACGCGAACCCTTTCTTCTCTGAGATTGCCCGTTTTAGTGGGAACCCCAAACCAAAACAGAGATCAAGGGCTCCCACTGAGCAACTTGCGGGAGCTCAGCAGGGAATGAGGGAATGACCCCTGTAAACCATCCAACTGGTGGTGTCCTTTAAGGGGACCCTTGGGTTCATTCCATTTCTCATTCTCTACCACCAGCAAGACAACTGGGGTGTTTCTCCAAATCGCGGTCCCCGAAAATGGCAGGTTTCCTCTACCGCGGCCCCTTCGCCTCTTGCAAGTCCGGCGGGCGGTGCTTCTCTTTGAGCTGCTGCAGCTGCGTCCTGCACCGCTGGGGGCCGGGAGCATGGCCCGCTGAAAACCCCTGAAAAGCGGGACCCTCAAAATGAACACACACCAAAATGGCTATGGTGGGCCCCTCGAAACGGGGATTACAACACCAAAATACTCCAAAAGGGCTAGACCCCCAAAACCACAAGCGGCTACCTAAGCCTTCCACCCCCATCCAAATCGTACTGGTTGGAGTCTGGCCCATGTTTTGGGAATCTCGCGCTGCAAAATAAGGACCAAACTTCCAATGGCCATGGGAAAAAGACACCTTTTTTGGGTAGTTGCTTCTGAAGGGGAACCCCACTCCAAAACAAAACAGAAAACAAGGGGGCCACTGGATGGGTCCATAAACCTTGCGCTCTACAGTAGCGTCAAAAGCAATCCTGACAAGGCACGGATCAAGCATGGCTTGTTCGAGGTTGGGGTTGATATGCTGCCGGCTAGGGATAAGCCGAACGGAGAAACATAATCTCGAAACCGTGTGCAACGTAGCACCGCCAAGCATAGGCCAGGTGCACCAGGTCAGGTTTGTAAAGTATGATCCCATGTTTAGCCTTACTCACACATGCTTCTTGCACATTCTGGGGCTGCAAATTGTTCAGGTACCTTGAGGCCAATATCTTCTTGGCCTCTCGGGGGCATACCTTAGGGCAACGTGCAGCGGGCGCGCAGAAAGCCACCGGTCCTTGCTGCCTCATGCGCCAAGTGGATGACTTCCTGGCGCTTGGCCGGCGATTGCCGAACCCACGCCCCACCGCCAAAATGCCAAACACCTGCAAGCTATCCGCATCTACCCGCAGGTTTTGCAAATGCAAAAAGGGGCCCAAGCTGAACCCCAGCCAAAAGCAAGTTGGATCTGCAAATTCAGCAAGTCCGAAACCCCAAAGTGAAGGACCTACATTCATCGAATTATCAGGTGGGCTCGCCAAGGCGTCATCGATGCCACTTCTCTCACCTTCGATGCCGATCTCGCGCCTCCTCCTCAAGATCTGCGTCCAAAGACCGCGCCGGGCTGTCAGGCACCAGGGACTGGCGGAGAACCGGGCGGCCGGATCGGCCATGGAGCTAATTGAAGGCGCCAAACCGAACGGATTTCAATGAATGGACCAGTGTCGGGGGAAAAAAACAACGCCTGTTGCTGTGGGAAGGTCCCCAAAACCAGGAGTCGGCTCTCCTCCAAATAGGTGATTCCATGACGGCTTGCTTTCGAAACCGAAAAAGCAAGAAACGGTCAACTTGTTTTGCCGCAGCCAGTTGGTATCTTTGCCGTTGGCCTGTCACATGTTCTTCTGAAATGATTCATGGCCATCCTGAATCCCCAGTAGTGCAGGGAAAGGTCTTGCGAATGTGGCCCTCGCTATTTCTACAAGGTAGCTTACGCTTCAAAGCGGCAAAGTCTTCAACACGGGGTTTTGTAGACCGCCAAGTTCGGCGAAACGCGACCCGCAGAGCTCCGGCTAGGCTCACAGAGAGATTGGTGCGACCAGGACTTCCCAAAGTCCTCGTGACTAACCATACTGCGGTGGCCAGTTGCCTTCAAAAAAACACGGGAACAAGTGGTGAAGGCAGCAGGTGCCAAATTCTCGTGAAGGCGTAGCGGCGTAGCGGCGTAGCCCTTTGGCAGCTGGCCAAAATGGCTGACCAGGCATCACCAGAGTGGAACTTGTTGAGCCGCGTGCTAGGAACACACGTTGCAAAATCAACCTGAACATGAGGCTTGGGCGCCAAAATGAAGCCGTGGTCTGAAACTCAGGCCTTTTTCTTTGCATCAATGCCGCACAGCCTTCAAGGTGCCGCTGCGGCAAAACGTGACCTGCGTACACCACGTCTTGGGCAGGCGCAAAGCTTTCATCTGCACGCCTTTTCTTCGGACATAGCAGCACTCTGGCTGGGAAAGGGCAAGCGAATTGAAACCTCCACCACGCCCCCTGCCATAACTCCTGGGCTTGACCCAGGCCCTAAAAATAGAGCGCGTCTTCGCGGACCTCCAGGCCCTTTCCGACGTATGCCACCTGCTTATCACAGGAGCTGGGCTCGACACCAAGGCCATGCCCCGTGCGCACGAAGACGATGCCTGCCAGCGAAAACAAGGAAAGGCGGGGTCTCTGCGTTGGCTGGCCCATCTTCAGCAAGGAGCCAGCTGAAAACAAACAAACAAACAAACAAACAAACAAACAAACAGGTGCCACTGAACAACTGGGATGCACAGTTGCTTCCGCCGCTCCATTCCCTCGAAGGAGCCTTTGCGATCGGAGATGTGGAGCACGCGCGCGCCCTCGCTCCATTTGAATTGGATGCTGGAGATGCTCCCATGCTGGTACATTGAGGAATGCCCATCGTCCTCCCAAAAGTCGAACGATGCATCTCCTCCTCCAGGGATGTGCCTTAAACCCAATGCAAAACCCAGATCTGGAACAGATCATTCCTTGCCGACCCGCGACAATCACGCGTTTTCACACGCCATCTTAGCTGTTGGGTCAGTTTGGGGCATCCTTGCTTCCTTCAAACAACTAGCCCCCTCATCTGATGAAAGCCTTATCAGGACAAAAGTGGCTTGGCGCCAAGGGCAGTACTTGGGTACGGCCCGTGCCCCTGGGGTCTGCGCCCAAAACATAATTCCCGCACACACCAAACATCCAGAGCGACGGTTTGTTTTTTTGCAAGAGCGGCGGGTCCCGGCGGGTATGTTGTTTCTTGAAGGTACCCTTGTTAGGGCTGTTCTAGTGGAACACTAAATGGAAACTCACCAATTTTGGAATTCCCCTTAATTGGCGAACACACCCACATGGCTAAACGGCATTTTACTCGGACCTCGCCCCCACGTTTTCGCATTGATTTGCCGAGCGCGCCTGGGAAGATGCGCACTTCCAAGTCTAGCGCTGGTTTCTCTGTTGCGAACTGCATGGCAGAGCCTAGGACCTCAACACGGGCGACGGGCAAGTCGAAGGCCCCCCCCCCGGAATTCCCCACGCAACGCGCAATTTGTGGCAAGTTTATGGCAAAACTTTCAAATCGACCCGCTGAGTGTGAGGGCTTCCGCCCCAACCAGAGGCCAAGTGTTGGTTGTAGATAGCCGTTGGTGTTACCCAAGTGTTGAGAAGTGTCATCTATCTTCGTGTTCCAATCGCAATTCTCGGGGGTTCGTGGGGCAGGCTCTCGACAGCTACGTGATGCTTGACGTACTAAACGATTTGAGAAAAGGACCACAACACATCTCTCAATGCGTCAAGCTTGCCTGCAGGAGAAAAACAATTTGAAGCAAATGATTGTTGCGTGATTGTTGCCGAATTCTCTGGCCACATCTTTGCCAAGACTCCAAAATGGAGCCACTTCGCGCGAAGACAGGCGCCTGGTCCACGCCAAACACCACGGTCTGCGTGCCGCTGTGCGTGTTGCCTGTGTGGAAATGGATCCACTCGCCGCTGGGAAAGTACACCTCCCGCGAGGTGGCTTCGCCATCATCTCCAGGCGACACAATGGGCGCCACCAGCAGCGTCGGACCAAACATGTACCTGAGCCCGCCGCTGGGGGGATGCCCGAAACCGATCCCACAGGCACTCGAGGGATCCCTCTTGGGCAAATGTCCACGGCTTGGCTTTAGGAATGCTTCTGAAGAAACGCCAGCTTGCTTGAACAAGAACAAAGCCTCATGACAACTCTCACGCAGTCGCCAGAACATCAAAACAACTCCCCCTGCTTTGTTGCTGTTCACCCCTCTGCAAAAAGTTTAACTTGTTGTGGGTTCAATGGACGATGCACTGTTTGTCAAAAAGTCGAAGTCCAACGATCCGTTGCCAAACAACCATACAGCCTGCATTGCAGGTTCCGCCGGATTCTGAAGCAAAGGTGCTCATCTGCGATGCTGCGCGCCTGCAAATCCTCCGAGAAATCGAAGGCCAAGCCACGCTGCACAGTGTAGTCCGAAACGTCAGCCTGTAGGAAGCACGAGTAGATGTATGGCATCAGCCTCCGGGGGGAAGGGGGGCAGTGTCCGACAAACAGGGGGTGGAGGCCCCTCAGTTAATTTCCCTTGTGCCCACAAATGGAAAATCTACTGTGGCTACCACCTGCTTTCCATGCACTACTTAGGGGGGTGGGAATGCGGAGAATAAAGCCGCCACCCAGCAAGAAAAGCAACTCAGAAAGGGAACGCAATCTTTAGCTTTTTGCTGGTGTGCCGCTTTATTAGATTAGTGGCGTGGACGCGTGGTTGGGATTGGCCTGAAGAGCTGAGTCAACGATATCCAATGCGCCAACCTCTGAACTTGGCTCACAGGTCTAACAGGTCCCCGCGACTGGACTCTCACCGAGCTGGTTCCGGCGGCCCAGCTCAATGGGGGGAAGGGCGCGTGCATACCCAACCACCCAACCCAACCCATGCCAACACGTGGCAGGGGCCAGCCGGATGGTTAGACGGGCTGAGTCTTCTTGCAACTTCCCCACGTTGGTGTGCCTCACCCAGTTCAAAACGCGCGCTCCTGTCCGCAGGTCCAACAACTCAAGAATCCAAGCCGACAAGCTCAGCTCGCCAAACGTCAGGTGCTCCACGCTAGATTTAGCCTCATGTTGGATTGCGAAATGAGATCCAGTGGTTCTCCGCTTCAAAACTCGTGTGGTTGCTACAAACATGGCTCCATTCAACCGTGCCGGATCCGTCAACATTCTCAACTTGACTAACAGCAGAAAATGAAACGGGCTTAGATTCCCCTGCAAGGGAGGGGATTCTTGGCGTTCCCTCATAGGTTTCCCAGGCTGGCCACTGCACACGCTGCCTGTACCGCAGTGTGATGGCGGAAGAGTTGATCGTCTTCATGGTCTCGTTCCCGAAGTGCCACAGCTCAGTGTGGGTCCCAGCCCCATGCACTCGGAAGATGGGCGTGAACACGCCAAAGTGGAACCAACGGATCAGCAGTTTGTGGTACTCCTTCGAGTCATACTGATCTTTAGGACGAAAGAATCCTCAGGCTCACATGATGCTCATGAACAAGCAGAAGGCTATCTAATGAAAAGCGACGCATAGCAAAGCCTCAGCATCTTGTGTGAGATTCCTCGCCCGCACCCCCAAACAAGTCGCTAGAACCTGTTAGGAGACATCATGTTGCGATGTTGGAAGTGGGCTGCTTGCAACTGGACAAAGTGTCTCAAACCCCAGCCCGTGAAGGTTGGGCATTTCACCCCTGGTTCTTGCGGAGGGTACACGGGAACCCCCCTCACCAAACCAATCCAAACAAGCAACCTGAGGGAAGCTGGTACGACGTGTGTGTGTGTGTGGGCAGAAGCGCACCAGCCACTAATCCAAACCACGTGGTTGTCTGATTCTATGGACTTATCCCACTGCCCGCGCCTCCGATGTCCTGCGACCAGTAGGGGATCCCCGACAACCTCGGAAAATCCCACACGACCAACGCAAAGATGCGGTCATCTTTTGGCTGACCAAATGGAACCTATACAATCCTATACACACATACACACACACACCTCTCACTTCCTGAGTGGATTGGATGGAAAAAGTAAAAACTGTTGATTTTCCGCTTAAACCGTCGTTCCAGAAAGTTTCGAGTCCAGAGACTTGGGAAAAAAAGCGCTGAAAAAAAGGCTGTTCGACTACAAGGGTGAGGCAAACCCCGACAGACTGCCGGAGGGGCGGGAAGTTGATTGAGCTGGCGACCTGCCGCCGCAGCATGTCCCAGGTGCCGCTGGTGTCGCCAGTCCTGGCGGCGCTTGCAGCGACCCAGGCAGCTTGACATGCAGCCGGCAAAAAAGACGAGAAAGCAAGCCGAAAGAGCAGGCAGACAGGCAGGCAGGCAGGCAAAGCAAAGCAAAGCAAAGCAAAGCAAAGCAAGCAAAGCCACAAGCACACAAGCACACAAGTGCCCACGTAAGCGGGCATGCACACCCCCACACACCCAAACCTTGGATTGGCACTCAGGATAACTCAGAAAGCAGCCTCCGGGATGCTTAGTCAGCACTACTAATGAACAATCCTGAGCTCAGTGTTCCTGAAATTCCCAGGGGCTAAGCGTTGCTTG